ACTTACGTTCCACGTACCTTCATTCTCGATGATCTTACTTTTGAGAATTTGTGGTTATGACGATTACGTGATCGCGGTATTGTATCTATCGGTAAAACGTAGTTGTATAAAAAAGAATAAATCAAAGACTCTTTATTTCTCAGCGTATTTTTATTTTCTTTTTATTATTATTATCTCTCTGTATATTTGTGTGATGTAAACGTAATTATGATAAAAGTCCTAAAAAAATGACTGCTTGCGATATATTACAGTTATTTCTTATTAATATTAATAACTTGTAATTTCATTTCCCATCCGTGGATACAAATTATGCATGGTCCTGGATGTTGAGCTAATCGACTTAATAGAACTTTAGAAAATAATAATGTATACCTATTAGTTAAAACAACTTGACAGTTATTTTCCATAACTTCAAACTTCTTTTTGTATATAACTGTAGTTAAGGAAATGTGGACAGACGAAACGCGATGGGATTATATATTAACTGTGTCTCGTCGACGTTTTGCAAATAATAATCTCTCTCTCTCTCTCTCTCTCTCTCTCTCTCTCTCTCTCTCTCTCTCTCTTCCTGTCCGTCGTTTAACAACTTTAAGATTTATTTAAAATTTGCAAATAACGCGTTAAAAACTTAACAACTTTCCTTACAACCTACTTCCTTATTATAAAAATATTTATCATTTTTGTTTATCGAAAAATTACATTTTAATATTATTATACTAATTTACATATTAAATTATTTTGTTATTAATAACGGTACGCTTCGTAAAACGATAGAATTGTGGAAAAAAATTTTATTTATATAAATTTCTACAATTTTAGACACTTATCCGCAAATATCTCACAAGGTAAAAGGTGACATCCACGTAAAACGAACTCGGTAGATAACATAGATCGAAGTTCGTAGACCTTGGTCTTAGTATGCATGATATTTGCAACAATAAATGCTATTTAAATAACATTTTTCTTTTTGTCACTAGCAATTTGTTCAATTTTCGCTGTTATCTCTATTTTTATTTGACAAATTACGTGCAACAGGGAGATTAGATAAAAATTCATATTTAAAGCTATAAAAACTATGACAAATGTTATTTTAAACCGTACTTTATGTATTATTTGTGATATGTCCTTACAAAATTGTTATTTCATGTTTATCATGTTACTTATATTGCTAGTAATAACACATATGTTAAAATAGATAAAATTTTACATCGAAAAAAAGTATTACATGTCGCGTATATGTTTAAAAATAAAAAATAAAAAAAAAATGAAAAAAATAACGAAACAAAAAGAATGAAAATGATCAGGTGAAGAAAGGATCTGAGGGAAAAAAAAATGAGAAAGGGTTCGCGAATTTCCATGATCCGTTCGAAGATGGCGCGGCAGGTGTCTCTACGAATTTCTGGGGTGCCTCCCTTCTTCGAGTTCGAGTCAAAGAGACAAAAAGACGAGAGAAATCCTCGCGAGGATCAGACCACCGCCCAATGTCCCTCTTGGCCTTCTCTGCTCTCTTATTTCTTTTTCTTTTTTTTTTCTTTCTCATTCTCCTCTGGAAGAATCACAAGAAGGGACGGAAATATCTCTCCAGGAAACGGATCGAAGAGTTCCCAAGTTGTTGGAGTTGTTCCAAAGCTGACTCGGTCGCTGGACCGTGGCATGTTTTTTATCTGGACCGCATCTTTCTAAGAGAACGCGAGGAGAACCTTCGAGAATATGTACTTTCCATCTTTTTCCATCTTAACGTCTTTAAGAAAAGTACAACACGACAGCCGATTTACACCCCGTCGCGTTGTGTCGCTGTTAGAAGAGTTGTCTCTACGGTCTCACGTCTTTCTTCGTGGTGTTGGTAATAAAGAAAAAGAGCTTTCGCGTAACTGGAACAGACACTGTGATCCACGAGCGAACGTTGATATAATTAAACTGGTCCACTGGTATGGCGCGAACCAGTTTCCGAGGATTTTGTGCTTGAAAATTCTCTCTCCTTCTGTTTCTTTATCTCTCTTTCACGTTTTCTCTCTCTCTCTCTCTCTCTCGCTCTCTCTCAGTTTTGACTCCGGGGTTTCAAGCGATTATGTTTCTCGTGTATGAATACCGTCCTACTAGCAGCTGCCCGTGAATCACGAAAGCGACTTTGCGAAATTTGTTTAACGTTGCGTCGTTACCGTTGTGGTTAACTCTCACGTGCCTGCCTGCCCCTTGCGACCGCTTTGCCGTTGGATTACACGAAATGATTTCACAATCTTTGTATATCTAAATTATTTTATTCATTAGTGTCATACACTCTTTTTGTTTTATAATTAGTAGCTAATTATACAATTATACGAGTTAGTTTGTTCAAACGAATAATTTAGATATTAGCTACTGATAAAATACTTATTCCCGGATCTTTGCTATGAAAAAGAAAAGAAAAAATAGGGAAGAAATAAAATATTTCTGAAATTTTTATTAAGACGCGTGTAGCCGACGGTCGGCATAATTAATAAGAGTATCGTTTCCTCTATTCGCTGAAAGAGAAATATGACGTTTCGTTATTTTTTCTTTTTTTCATTTCTAAAAATTTCTAAGTCATTGTGCATTGCGTAGTCGTGATCTATCCATCTTGACGTGGCTAACACCATACGCCTACGTGAGGAGATAGGAAAGCGTGAGTAGAATTAGCAAAACTCTATTGGAATGATCTATCGATCCCAAAACTGCCACTTCGTGTGGGAAGGTAGTAGGAAAGCTCGAGTTCATCGACGATCGACATGGGTGGCGATAAGCGCCATCAATAAGATCTCCTTAGGGTATCGTAATAGTCGTTTGTTACATACACAAGACATTTCCTCTTTTTTCTACATTCAACACAAACCTTATTATTTTATTATAATAAATTACTAACTGTAATAGATCTCGATATGTTATTCCTTGTAACTTGAAGAATAAACAAAATTAAAGATCCTTGAAGAAAATTCGAAATTCCTTCTGTTATTTCCAATCGACTGGATAACAGATGTCCTTGAAATCCATGTATTATAGGGTGCTACGAAATGGAGAAGAAGGGAGGAGAACGCTATTTATGATCTTCATAATTCTATACCCTGAACTCTTTCACAATGAAACACGAGTCGTAAACTAAAATTAGAATAAAAATCGTATCCTTGAATTATGAAAGGGGAATCTTAGTGAATATTTTCGAACGATTATTTTTTATAAAAATATCAGTTGATAAACTGTAACGTATACCTATCTGTAAAGTAAAAAATAAAACGATTTATTATCGGATACACATAGATATACGATTATTCTAGTGAACAACATGATCGAAATCTTTTCGTGGTAATGAAAAGGGTGGACAAGAAAAATTCCGTTTTTTTCTTTTTAAAAGTATCGTGAACGAAAATTTAAAACGTAAAGATAAATAAAGGATGAGTAGAAGGAAAGAACGCAATAGATTAAAATCTTTTGTTCGTGGTGAGAGAGAGAGGATCATCTATTATCATAAATTATGTGTTCTTCGTCGTGATTCAACCCGAATCGTTTCGACTCCTCGATGAAACAACAATGGAGAACATGTATTTTCTTCTTCTTTTCTACTTGGTGTCTATCATTGAATGTTATACGAAACACAAGCGGTATATCAAAGGATAGATAAAATTTCCCGCGGTGCCTAGAAAAGTCAAAAGAATACGAAACTTTCGTCTTCATAGATTAAATTCTTAGACAGAGGATGCATCTCTCATATTTGGAAAAAAATTCTTCCCTTTCTTTCGGTCTTCTCGTTGGTACCTGAGGACCACGCCTTTTCTGAATGTAGCTCATCGTTTCTTCTCTCCAAAACATTCATCCAAATTTTCATATATAAAAAAAGAGCTTCTTTTTATGTAGATAAAAACAATTTTATAAAAAGTATCAATAATTTCTAATATTTAATGTTAAATGTATAACAAAAAAATTATGCAAATATTTGGTAATCCTTTACGGTTACATTCAATTACAAAAAATTGTTCATCAAAAAAACATTTGATTATTTTTATCAAACATATTTTACTTTATGATTTATACATTTTGACAAACTTTTACTATGACAAATAAAATATAAATTTCGTTCATAATAAAATTATGCGGTTTATTGTTTATTTGCATTTTTCAGCAAAACGTCAGGAATATTTGATGGATAATTTGAGTGAATTTCTATCAAGTGTTTGTAAAAAGTGATTTATGTAAGAATATAAGAATGCACGTGGTGTTAAAGCAAAAATGCTTGCTCTATAAATGCGTTCTTCATGTATGAAAATTTGATATTTTGAAGTTTTTTCGCAAATGTGGATTAAAAATACGTGTTCGTTAAAAAATATTATATTTAGACGAATATGAATGTTATTCGTATCGAATTGATAAATTAACACACATTAACAGGCTCGAACAATCGTTTTATCTCAGTTCGTTTTTACTGAATGTAAATATTCATTTTTCACAGATAGGTATATGTGAGCAGATTGCTTCAGCAAATATTCATTCATGAAAATTCACCAACAAAAATATTTATATACGCATGTGTGGAGCTTGAGTGAGACGAAAGAAGGGAAGAGAGTTATTTTTTGTAACTTTTCCAATGAAAAACTCTGGTATCATAAGGATTCTACAATAATAAATATAATTTCAGTAATTATGTAGATTTTGTACATATTAAAAAAAGGTTAAATATAATTTAAAAAAACGCGAGTGTTGCTGCGATTTTACATAAAAAATATTTGTTATTTTTGCACGAGAAAAAATATTAAAATATCTACAGTCTAATATTAATTGCATCGCGATCAAAGATACAATTCTCTTACTAATCAACACATAATACTTTTAAATATTATATTTTTATTTCGCAACTTTAAAAAAGAATAATAATTTTATTAATTAAGTACTACTCACATTCCGTGCATCTAATCGTAGAATAAAATATTTCTTTGTTCCTCCAGAAAATGATTAAAAGCAGATTAGAAATATTAACGTCAGTTATTTTGTTTTAGATTCAATGGATCCGGTCGGACAAGGGTAAGTAACCAGAATCTATTTATCTAGGAATTTTTCGACATAACGATCGCGTTTCTAAGACTAGTCTTAGAACTGGTATTGTAAATAGCAACGATAAAACGTCGCTAAGTTGGCGTTGTAACGATTTTTATGATAATCTGTTTCGGTGGATTGACGCCGTCGAAAAAGAACAGCTAGCCTGTCAGCCAACCAGCCAGCCCAGCCGTCTATCGGTCGGTAGGCTGAAAGTTTCGATATTTCAAATTTATCTAGAAAATGGGGTGTGCAAAATGGGCTGTCCATCGTAAGGAATGTCAAAACCGGCTAAAACTTTTCCCGCCCTTGTGTCTTTCAACCCTCCGAACGCGTACCCTCTCCCTTATTCTTTTCCTTTTACCGCACGCCCCTTTCTTCTCCATTACCTCGTACCTTCAACATTTTTCTCTAAGACCACCAAGATACCTGGATGTGCCTAACCTTTCATCTAAGAATGTCTAATGGGTACATAAGTATTACTAGTTATCCTGAACGAATTCGATACTATTATTCGTTGGCCTCTCCGTCGGCAAAAACAACCGATAAGATTAATCTCGAAGAAACGAAAAGCAATTATTTTTCCGAGAGATACGTCCGAACGCTCCACTATCGCGAGGTATGAAGAGTTTCAACGAGTTTAAAGTAGTCGATAGATAGGATGCAGAAAACGAACGATTTCTCAATACGGAGGAGAGGAAGAAATGATGGAGTTGCTACACCGACAATTCGCGATTACGCTTCGCAGCGTAGGAAAGCAAGAAAGACGATCAGAGAGATAGACACATAGAGAAAAAGAAAAAGAGAGATAGGGAGAGAAAGAGAAAGAGAGATCTCTGAGAGAAAGAGGGAGAGATTTCTGACTCGCAGAGTAGTCGCTCGTCGAAAGGAGCGGACCGTCGGCTGAGCAGATCGTGCAAGGTATAAGCTCTCTCTCGAAACATACACATACATGTATGTTCGTGTACATATATTCACATATCCACGTATACTTACATGAAAAGATAGACGAAGAACATACACAAGTAAGAAGCCAGAGCGAAGATCGGAGAGAGGCGAACCTTGCGACGAGAAGGAGCAAGGGTGAAGGAGAGAGAAAATGTGATAGAAGGAGAGAAAATGAGAAAGAGAAAGAGTGAGTGAGAGAGAAAGAGCCATTCATCTTGGCGCGCCTAGCCTGCGCCGGATTGGCGGGGCTCGGTAAAGAGCGCGCGTCGATTGGCCGGCAGTGTTTACCAGCTGGTGCCCCCGGCAGCCGACGCTCCACGCTCGACCGTCGAAGAGAGGGGGGCAGAACGCGGAGAGACAAGCGGCGCCATTATTGTAAGGGGTTACATTTAGCTGGCCGTGGGTTGTAGTACGCGGCGTTCGGGATAGGGGGCTATAGTACCTTCATGCATGGCCCATAAAGGATTCGTCGACTATCCGAGAAGTACGCAAGAAACGGCTTCTAACACCTGACAGAGGGGCCACGGCTCTTCTCTTCTCTCTCTCCTCGCAGTGGTGCGCCGTTCCATCGGCTGCTGTCTGCCATCGTCGCTACCGTCGCTGCCGTCGCTGCCGCCGTTGTCGTCGTCGTCGTCGTCGTCGTCGTCGTCGTCGTCGTCGTCGTCGTCGTCGCGATCGTCATTGTCATTATTGTACCTGTCAATTTCGTGAACGAAAAGAGTGAACGCGCGCGCAAACGAATTTCTTATTATCTCGGAAAGATGGATCGACGGTGAGATGATGATCGGTTCGCAATAGTCGTCATCGATCTTTACTCGCGCGCGCTAATCGCGATTTTTATTACCTAATTATAAGTCTAATACTTGTGACAAGGAAAACAAATGTGTTTGCTTTTTGGCTAAGTGGCGATAGATAGATGTGAAGGATAGTCTTAGAGGGAAGAGAAAAAAGAAGAAGAAAAAGAAATATATTTATTATAATATAAAAGAGTGAAAGGGGAGAAATTATAAGAGAAAGAGGAAGATTGAAGAAGTAAGAGCAATGAGGAGGGAACCGCCGGCGAGGAGGACGGCACGCGGTTGCCGGCGTTGAGGACGTTGCGAGGGCCGACGCCGGGCGAGGAGGGATCGCGGCGACAGGGCTCGATCGCTCATCGGTAGGGCGATATGAGTTCGAAATTCATAATCGATAGTATGCTACCAAAGTATCACCAGCAGTTCCATCACCAACAACTGTTCACGAGCGCGAATCCCGGTACGATCCAGGCGTGTACCGCTGCGAGCAGCCCGGCGAGCGCGGCTGCGAGCCTAGAATCAAGCCTATCCGCGGCTGCGGTCGCGGCCGCGGCTGTAAATTACGCACAGCAACACAATTCGCCGAGTCCGACGGGCTCGAGCCCTCAACACTCGAGTAGTTCGGCCTCGACCTCGCCGGCGGCCCGCACCGCATCAAGCATGTATCCTTACGTTTCGGCCGCGGCCGCGCACCATCATCACCAACAACAGCAAGCGGTCGCGGCGGCCGCGTTCGGTGCGACCTCCAGCATGGTACCTGGATTCGGTTCGAGCGCGGCCGCAGCCTCGAGCGCTGCCCTCGCCGCGGCAGCGGCCGTCGATGCCGCGACAGCAGGTGACAAATCTTGCCGATACACCGCCAGCCTTGCCGGCAATGTCGCACCCACATCGGCCGACCCGATGGTCAATTACACCCTCGGCCATCATCATCAAAACGGTGCTACTCCTGGCAGCCTCGTCTCTTCCGCCTCAGCTTCCTCCGCCGTATCGGCCGCATCCGCATCTATGGCCGCGGCGGCACAATTCTATCACCAGGCTGCCGCGGCCTCGGCCGTTGTCGACCCTCTCACCTCCTGTCAGCAACCCACCACCGGTCAGCCTGGTATTTCGGACATTCCTCGCTATCCCTGGATGTCCATCACTGGTGAGTAGCTTTTATCCTTTGATCTTCCATTTTCTACTATGTACTTTTTCTACAATCTTGACTAATTCACTTTTCTAACGTATAAAATCGTAATGAAAATAAAATATAATCCATGTATACCTCGTGACACGATGTTCTACGTTTCAAAGATAGCTTTGCCTCGCTACAGTTTTCTTTTTTTCTTTTCCATAATGAAACTTGGTAAATTCTAGCTCACGCCGAGGCGATAACTCCTATTGTTTAACGCGAAACTTATTCTGTTCGTGTCGTACATAATGCATTATCCGTGTACCACCTTCGACGATACTTCTTCGTTAATTTATTAGCTCGAACAAAGTGTCCATGTCGTGTTTTTGCGTCGCTAATGTTATTCGAGCGTGCACCTTTGTAAAGTCGTGCGAGAAATATGTCTTTCTTATTCTTATCTATCATTGTTCTTTGAACATTCTCTTAACAGATAAACATTTTTACTCTTTAGAATATTTCACCCTTTTACTTAATTCAATCGATCCTGAAATCGAATGTTGTCGTCATTATATTTTTGAATATTCATTAAGCGATGGATAAATTTCTTCGCCCTAAAATTATTAAATTTATAACACAGATTTGTAACCGCGATAACGCAACGCGTGCTCGCTAAGTCACGAATTTCGTAAGGTTCATTAATATTCCAAAATTATGCATCTTTCGCAAATATCAAATTATTTTCATATTTTTCTTCATAAAAAGACAAATGGTAATAATATAACGTAAAGAGTAATTATAAAACAGTATATACCTACCTTTGAATATAATTCGATTGAGATGTAATCATAAGATTTAGGAAATTATTAGACAAAGTTTGTTTTCTGTCGCTGTCTTAAAATAGCGTAATGATTGGATGCTAATCTTTTGAATTTTGCCTTGCCAATTGACCGTCCAATCATCAAATATATTCGCCTGATTATCCGTTTCGTGCCAAAGATTTAAAGATCATCAGCTATAATGATAATTATTTGATTACCGAATATAAAATTGTTGATAAGAAACTCAGCAATAAAAAGATAATAATAAATTGATATTTCTGCTAATAGTTTTACATAAGTATTTTGCTTAACATTTACATGAATAAACATACTATATGAATAAAAGTACTCAGTTATTTGCATTCTAAACTCATTGATATATAATTTTTGCGATCAGTATTCGTTTCTTTTTTAAATTGTTATCGTAATTAAATTAAATGTAATATTTTCATCTGTTAATCGCTATTAATTATTATATTATTTATATATATATATCGGTTGTGTAAATAGCTTTATCATATAAGTATATAAAATGATATATAATTTTTTTCAATATTTATCTTTATTCAAAAACAAAAGATAATCGCAAAAAATGAGATTATAATTACCCGATAAATTAAATTCAAGATCGATTATATAAAATGATCATTTATAATTTTAATTGCCATAATGTAAAGATATACAATGAAAAAGAATACAATAAGAGAGGTAGAAAGAAAGGCGCAAAAAAAATGTCATTGTCGTCGCGGTCGCGCCGGGGGCGTAATCCGGTGCAGCTTAAATTGAATCGGGAGACAAAAAGGATTACGGGAGATGTGCCTTAGCAATGCCGATCCTTCCTTTAATCCTTCCCTCCCCGCCGCCTCAAATTATTGCGAGCTTTGTGCGTTTCACTGCTAAGAGTTTCCTAACTTTCTAATTGCATCTTGTTGGAGCAGCGAAACGTATGAGACGTCGAAAGCCCCCTTTTGTCCCACCACTCCCTTTTCCTTATTCTTCTCTCTCTCACTTTATTCGTCTTTCTCTTACACTTGCATCTCTCTGTCGGCTTAAGTCTCTTAACTCTCAACGTTGTATATATGTATTTACTTATATACTTACATTTGTGTCTTATGAACGCGAGCATCCGCTAAAAAGTTCGACGAACGTAAATATCTCTTTTTCTCTCTCTCTCTCTTTCTCTCTCTCTCTCTCTCTCTCTCTCTTTCTCTCTTTTTCTCTTTTTAAGAATAAAGAAACCTTGACTTCCTTTAGCTTCATTTATCTTTATCTTTTTCTCTTTCTCTTTCTAATTCGACAACGATACTCGCAGAATGT